CCAAAACAATATGGATTTTAAGTTAGAGATAGGAGACCAAGTTTTATTGAGAAATGAAACCGGTCATACATTAGATAACAAATATTTAGGCCCTTACAAAGTGGTAATGAGCGATAAAAATAAAAAACAAGTTGTTCATAAAGATAGGCTTAAAATTTTTCCTGTATAAATACTTTGTTATCTCGTATGGCCTGATCAACCATACGGGTACAAAAAAAAAAGAAGAAGGAACTTTACAACAACATTACCAATTCATATTTCGTAATTTTACTTTTAACTACAATTTTATAATTTTTATCAAATTTTGTTACATTTTATATTGACATTTTATATTCTTATATTTTCAAATCAAACATTTTTACTAATTAGTATGACCATTGTAATGTCATACTAGGTGTGTTTTTTTTTCCTTTTTTAACTTTCTATTTCTAATTCATATCTTCTCTAAACTCAACAAATAAATTTTTTTCAAAGACAAATGTTTGAATTAAATTAATATTTCCCCATGTTTGGTCTTTGTTTGGCCTTGCAGAGGGTATTATAATTTTCAGTACCGTTTGCGAGCTCAGTTTAAAAGCTAGCGATCTGAAACTTTCACACTCGTCCTAAAACATGTGTACGCAGATCAAGTTTGAAAATCGCCCCGATCGGACGTCTATATCCTATAGCTCCCATACGAACAATCGGATATATCTTGCAAGAATTGATGATATTTCGCGCAGTGTAAAAGCTATTGACATGAATCTTTCCAAATCGTATTTTTTTATGCATACCTAGATCAGGGTAAAAGCGCGTGGCGATCGGACGTCTATATCCTATAGCTCCCATAGGAACAATAGGGTAAAATCGGTTAAAATTTAATGATTTTTAGGATATTTCGCGCAGTATATAAGCTATTGTCATGAATCTTTTCAAATCGTATTTTTTATGCATACCTTGATTAGGGTAAAAGCGCGTGACGATCGGACGTCTATATCTTTATAGCTCCCATAGGAACAATATACCTTATTCTATTCGCTACTTTTTCATTTTTAGCAATTTCGGCAAAGTCTGCAAGGGTATTAAAGCTTCGGCTTGCCGAAGTTAGCTTCCGTCCTCGTTATATATTGAACTAAGTATCTGGGAGCGAATTACCGGTATATCCGCCATTATTCTGAAAGACTTTCACTATTCGTCTTGGAATGTTGTACCCTGCTTTTTGGACATTATCCCAAAGTTTATTTTTTTTTTGACAAAAAGTGTTTCCGACGTCTCTTTTGAGTTCACCGCAAAGATATTTGATGGGATTGAGGTACGGGGATTGACTTGGCCACTCAAGAACATCCACATTTTGTTCTCGGAACCAATCCTTTACTCCTCGAGAGGCGTGCTCCTTAATAAAAACGATGTCTAAAAATGTATATATTTTTATTTTTCCTTTTTATTTGTTTTGATTTGATTTTTTTTTTGTTTGGTGCGAATATATATAATTTTTTTCTATTTACACTCATGGACAAAATAATAGGTGTGTTTTTTTTCTTTTTTAACTTTCTGTTTCTAATTCATATCTTCTCTAGTCTCAACAAATCAATTTTTTTTCATAACTTCTATTAATTGTCTTTAAAAAAAAATGTAAAAACTGAATCACAAATCCTTTTATATAACACCAAATTAAATATTTTCTTAAATCCGCCAATTTTGGCTGGACAAAATAAGTGGTGTACAAAGATAAATGTTTAAATTAAATTAATATTTCACTATGTTTGGTCTTTTTATATATTGAACTAAGTATCTGGGAGTTAATAATCGGTATATCCGCCGTTATTTTGCAAGACTTTCTCTATTCGTCTTGGCATGAAGGACATTAAATTATGACATGTTCCAATTGGAATGTTGTACCCTGCTTTTTGGTCATTATCCCAAACTTGATTTTTTTTTTTGACAAAAAGTGTTTACGACGTCTCTTTTGAGTTCGCCGCAAAGATACTCGATGGGATTGAGGTCCGGGGATTGACTTCGCCACTCAAGAACATCCACATTTGGGTCTCGGAACCAATCCTTTACTACTCGAAAGGCGTGCTTCGGGTCATTATCCTGCTGAAACTTCCATAAAAATGGTAAATTATCCTGGGCATATGATAGCATCACAGTCTCCAATAGATATTTGTACTCGAATCTTTCCATTATTCCGTCAATACGTTGAATCGGACCAAAACCATGCCATGAAAAGCAGGCCCGTGCCATTAGGCTACTACCTCCATGTTTCACAGTTTTATATATGTACTTGGGATCAAATTTTTTGCTTTTCGGACGACGAACAGTCATTCCAAATCTTTTCCAAATGATTTTTTTTTTTTGGTTTCGTCCCTCTAGAGGATATTACGCACTTTTTTCTCACCCCCCGGTCCTCAACAGGTTCTACGATCTAATGCAAATTTGTTCCTCATCTGTTAATTTGCCGATCGAAGCAAAGGAACCCTGCGAGCAATCCTACCTGGTTGCTATTGCCAATTACCATATTTTATATTTAATGTTACTATTTTGTCTCGCTTTAATTTCCTTTGGCTTGGTATTGACTGTGCGTTGGTTAATTCCTGTATGTGGAGGCAGAAAATATATATATGTTGGATGAGCATGCACGATATATATGCGTAAGCGTATGTGTTAGATGCTGCTTTTTGTCATACAGTGCAAACCCGATAAGTGGACTATAGTTGTGATGGCATACAAAATATTTATGGAGGCAGAAAATATATCTATGTAGATATGGGCATGCATGCATTTATGGATATATGTGTGTATGTGTAAGTGTATCGGTACAGTAGAGCGTCGAGGAGTGAACTGTATTTGAAGTGACGAAACAGAGAAAATTATGTGGAGAGAAAAAACAAAAGACAAAAAAAATATATCGCGACAGCGGCGGACTGTTTGGCGAACAGGGAAACCCCCCAAAATTAGTTTACACCGAGTGGCTGATATTAGTTATGCATTTTTATTTTCCACCATACAATTTCACTTTTCTTATTAAACCATGGAGGTTTATTTGAACTCTTGCACGGAACACACAGATAAAAGAAAGAGTTCAATGCAATACAAAAGAAATAAACGCCCTTAGCCATGTTAGTGCATGAATAAAGTTCGGACAGGTCATAGCCGGAAATAAAAGTATTTAAACGATGAACGCTCAAGTCCCATTTTAAAACCCATAAAATAGGTTGAATGCATTAGTTGTAGCTACTCTTCTTTCTTATCAGAATTCAAGAGGATAGTTTTTCCTTTACATATAATAGTATTGTATGTACAGAAACGTGGCTAAGGCCGGATATTCTTAGCTCCGAAAATTTCCCAGATAAGTACACAATTTATAGGCTTGATCGTCAGTCCAGACGGGGAGTTGGAGTCTTGATTGCTATCGACTCAACCCTTTCGTCTGAATTACTAACTTTCGAAGAATTTAATGACATCGAATTCCTAGGTATAAAATTATAGTTCCCCGGTAGTTTCATATATATTACTTGTTCATATATCCCACCATCATCTGAGTTCCCAATTTACGCTCATCACCTTTCCGTTATTTTTTTCTTTTTTTTTTCGCGCGGAGTCCCACGGCTCACTTACCCGCCCAACCGACGGAGGGACGCAGCCGTGTATCGTACGGCACGATTCGCGAGAGGATAGACGCGAGATAAGAAAATAAGGTCCGGGGAAAAAAGTAATACTAAGATCAATCTTGTGCCAATGAAGCTAGTATTACTCGTTTTAGGAGCGGCAGAGAGTCAAGATTTGAGATTATAGGAAAAAGTCTATTATAGTCAGAACATAATACTCTAAAAGGCTCATGCAAGGCATAGTTAGATCTACAATGATTTAAAATTAGGGGAATATAACTTCTAGTTAATCTACTTAGCACAGAAAAGTTTAGCCGACTTATTAAGTTGGGGCAGTCAATATCGCCATGTATAAGGTTATAAATAAAGAAAGTATCAAGCATCGTTCTACGGTTGGCTAGGGAGGGTAAATTAATCAACAGAAGTCTACTAGAATAAGAAGGTAAGTTAAGATTTGCATCCCAGATTAGGCGCCGTAAAACAAAAAGAAGAAAGTTGTTTTGTACTGATTCAATACGACCAATATGTATTCCGTATTGTGGACGCCAGACGGGAGACCCATATTCCAGAATCGGACGGACTATCGGATCATCGAATTCTTTTGACTGCCTTTTAATAAATCCAAGCACTCCTCTGGCTTTATTAACCATGGACGAAAGTTTAATTTAGGGCCCAAGAGAACGCCCAGATCGTTTACAAGAGTCATTCTATCCAAAGAGCTGCCACTTAATGTGTAAGTCGCGTATATCGGATTGACCCGATAAAAAGTCATCAGCTTGCACTTGGAACCGTTTAAATTTAGTAAATTATCTCGGCCCAGTTTTGAAAATTATCTAGATCGTATTTTAAGTCTAAATGGCAGGAAATGTACTTATACTGCAGGCATAACTTAACATCATCTGCCACCGCCCGCTGGGCGAACACCTTTCGCACCACGTCCGGCCCGTGCTGCGAAGATCCGCTGCAATTCTTCCGGGCGGCCCGATGGCTCTGCATCGCCCAACCGGATCCGTCCGAATCCGGCTGCGGCCCTCCGGATCCTCCTGAACGCCATCCGGGCCTTCGCCCGTCGTGGCGCCCGACGTGGCTCGTCATCCTCGTCCGAGGAGACTTCGGACTCACCTTCTCCGTCCCGGTGTCCTCCTCGTTGGCCTCCTCCTCCGACGAGGACAGGTCGATGACCGTTGCATTGGCCTCCTGCCCTGCCGGCATCATCCTCCGACTCCACCCTCCCTCTCCCACTCTCGCGCTCCTAACGCATTTGTGTGCGTTCGATACCGAGTATCATCCTCTCCCTCTCTTTGGATGAGTTACAGTGTGCCCCCGCTAAGTCCGACTTGGCTTCTTGGTTCTGGCCACCAATGCTTTGTGGTTTTAACTGGCTAATGTGGGCGGTTTTTCCTTTGCCAGTATTTACATGCCGCAATTGTATATCACCGGCGAATTAAAATGTATTATTTTAAACGGCCCTTCGTACTTTAGTGCCAATTTCGCAGCGAAGCCTTCTGCAGCTTTGGACAGATGGTGTTCCTTGGCCCAGACTGTGTTCCCGATGTTTGGTTTCCATTGGCGTCTACAGAGATTGTAGTGGCATGCCTGATCCTGCGCTGCCTTTTTCATATTTCGCCTCACCAGCTCGAAGACTTCCTTCAGCTTCTGTGCGTTTTCGACAGGAGTTTGAGTTTGCCTTCCGGTGCTGATTGTCTCTTCGTCGTACAATGCGTTGGGTAACCTGGGCTCTTTTCCTTGCTTAACAAAAGCTGGCGAATATCCCATGGTTTCAGCCACGCTTGTGTTCACGGCCAACTGCAATTCCGGCCACTTTTCGTCCCAAGTCCTCTGGTCTGCCCAGGTGAACTGGGCGATCATCGTTTTTACCGTCCTATTGGCTCTTGGGGCGTGTATAGGGCCGTGAACTGGTGTCGGACACCTAACTCACCAAGGAATTTTTTAAACGCCCTGCTGGTGAATTGAACGCCATTGTCCGTGATCAGCGCCTTGGGTACGCCGTATCCGGATCCGCTTACGGATCGCCTTTTCCAGAGTTTCCGTCGTTGCCCTACGCATTGGCACCATTTCGGTCCACTTGGAGAACCTATCTACCAGCACTAGAAGCATAGAATTCCCGTGTTTGGAGCGGGGCAGTGGTCCGACGAAATCTGCGCATACAGTGGCCCACTGCTCTTCCGGTACTTGGTTCAGCATTTTTCCGGCCGTCTGTAGTTGGCTTGGCTTATACCGCAGGCAGCTCTAGCAGTTTTGCACATATTTCCTTATGTTGCGGTGCATTCCCGGCCAATGGTATCTTGCTGCCAGCACTAGTAGCATAGAATTCCCGTGTTTGGAGCGGGGCAGTGGTCCGACGAAATCTGCGCATACAGTGGCCCACGGCTCTTCCGGTACTTGGTTCAGCATTTTTCCGGCCGCCTGAAGTTGGCTTGGCTTATACCGCAGGCAGCTCTCGCAGTTTTGCACATATTTCCTTACGACGCATTCCCGGCCAATGGTATCTTGCTGCGACTCTGGCAATCGTCTTCCGACTGCCCATGTGGCCAGCTGTCGGTAAGTCGTGGTTCTCCGACATTACCCGCCGCCTGGACCCCGTTGGCACGCATAGCTTCCATGATGTGACATCCTCGTTGCCCGCTCTGTGCGGTATGTGGCGAAATAGCTGGTCGGCTTCCGTCATGTAGTCTGGATATTTTTGGGGATTTTGGGCTATGTTGCCCCGCATATCCTTTATCCAGTTACACTTGCCTTTTTCCTTATGCTGTTCTTGTGTTCTGGCAGTGGCTGTCGCGATAGTGCGTCTGTCAACCACTAGTGCGTTCAACCACTTCAGTGCCATGTGATCCGTGATCACTTTGAAGTTGTAGCCCTCCAAGTAAGGCCTTAACTTGCGTATGGCCCACACAACGGCCAGGCATTCCTTCTCAGTAGCTGAGAAATTTCTCTCCGATCCATTCAGGGACCTGCTGGAATACGAGATCACCCTCTCGCCTTGGTCGGAATTCTGTGTGTGAATAGAACCGAGCCCGTAATCGCGGGCGTTGGTCTGAAGCACAAACGTCTTTGTAAAATCTGGGCATGCTAAGATTGGGTCTGCGATTAGCCTGGCCTTGACAGCTTCAAAAGCCTGTTGATGGTCATCTGTCCACTCCCATTTTGTGCTTTTTCGGAGAGGCTATTCAACGGATGCACCAACGTTGCAAAATCTGGCACAAAACGCCTGTACCACGACGCCACTCCCAAGTATTGTCGCAACTCCTTAAAGTTGGCCGGGGGTTTTATTAAGGCAATTGCCGATACCTTTTCTGGGTCTGTTCCGATGCCTTGGTCTGTTATGCGATGCCCAAGTATTGCAGCTCCTTTCTGAAAAACTTGGATTATTCCGCATTTACTTTTAGGTTGGCAGCCCGTAGTCTCCTAAACACTTCCTTCAGGTTTTCCATATGCTCTTCTAGCGTCCGTTCGATGACGAGAATGTCGTCCTGATACGCGAAAGCGTGCAGTATCATTTCTGGTCCAATGACCTGATCCAATGCCCGCTGGAATGTTGCCGACGCGGAGTGTAGGCCAAATAGCATCATCTTCCATTGGAACAGGCCCTTCCCTGGTACAGTAAACGCCGTGTACTGCCTGCTCTCTGCCTCCAAAGGGATCTGCCAGTAACCGTGCTTTAAGTCGAGACTGCTGATGTACTTCGCCTCCCGCAGCTGGTCCAGGATGTAGTTTATCATCGGCATTGGGTATGCGTCCTTTACGGACCTCGCGTTTATTTGCCGGAAATCTACACACAGTCTCCACTTTCCAGTCTTCTTCCTCACCATGACTATTGGTGAGCTGTAGGGACTCCTCGAAGGCTCGATGCATCCTTTTTCCAGCAGCTCGTCTACCTTGGCATTGAATTTTTAGGGTAGTACCGCTTTTTGACTGGTTGGTCGTCCTTCATGGTGATCCTATGTACGGCCACGTTGGATGTTCCCTTTATGCCTTCCAGTTCGTCCAACTCGGCTTTTAGAAACCCCTCCACATCCTTTTCCGCAAATCTTTTGGGTGTTTCAACTATTGCCAAAGACAGTTTCTCTTCCAGCGACCCTTCTCGTCTATACCTTGCCGGTATTGACGCGCTGTGTCCTGCGCACTCGACTTCGGCCCCGATTCTGGTGAGGAAAATTTCCAACACCAGGGCGTCGATCAGTCCTGGTAAAATCAGCAGCTCCATTGACACTGTTTTCGTGCCAAGTCCATCCGTACTTGCCTTCTTGTGGGTCCGACCCTTCCTGCCGCCTGCAGCCTGTCCGCCAGCTCTTCGCTGATGAAGCTCGTCGTGGCACCGGTATCCATCGTGGCCTTAATTTTATTTTCACCTATGAGCACCGTGGCGGACAGTTGCATTTCATCCGCCTGCAGGTCGCCCATTAATTTCGAGAGGCAGCACCTCGCGATCACTGGCCGCCCCTCGGAGGCTGGGGTCGTTGGGCGTTTCCCGACCCGGAACAGCACTGAACCGTCCGAACTCCTATTTTTCCGCATCGCCAGCAGAACGTAAGCCGTTGGTTCCAGCATTCCTTAACCCAGTGGTCTGGACCCCCGCATCTGCGGCAGGCCTGGGTAGGATTTGCTACGTATCCGCCGCTATTGTTTGCTGGTTCGTGGCCGCGCGGTATATTTCGTGGTTGTGCGTCCGGGTCCTCCTGGCACCGCCTGCACACTGCACCCTGGTCTGTTCTTGGTCTTGGTACTTGATTGCTCTGCCCTTGCTGCTTACGGGGATTGTTTTCCAGCTCAAACTTCTCCCGTTGCTGGTCGAGCTCCTCAAACTCGTCTGCCAGCGCCATCAAGGTATCCAAATTTCGACATTCGTATGGGCGAATGAACATTAGGAGTGCCTGCGTGCTGTTCTCTTTTATTCTCTCCAGCGTTTCTTTGGTCGACAGATTTAGTGGCCGCATCAGGGTCTGCATGTCCACCATGAAATCTTTAAAGCTTTCGGGGGGAGGCTTGCTTTCTTTGTCTGACCTGGTCCGCCAGCTTCTCCATGTATCCTCGGGGAAGGAAGTAGTTTTGGAAACTGTAGATAAAGTCTCCCCAGGTCTACCAGTGTTGATTGTTGGCGATGAGCCACTTTAAGGCTCTGCCTTGTAGAAGCTCCGGCATTGCTCGTGGGATCTGGTTTAGGTCGAGACCGTAAGTCACGACTTACCACTCTACTTGCTCCACAAATTCCAGCGGCTTGTCGTTTCCGTCGTAGCGGAAATTCCACTCCCGGACCTGCTTGACCACCTTCGCGTAGTCCTGCGTGTGCGTCCTGGAACTCTCCTTTCTTTCCCGGCTACTCTCCCGCTGCCGGGCGTAGCTTGCGATGCTCGACACATCCAAGCTCGCTATCAGGCCTTTGGCACTTCCGGTTGTGAGCTTGAATTTTGGAGTGGGCATTTTCCGGAATTTCTTCTCCAGGCCCGTTACCAAATCGGCGATGTCCGGCTCCTCTGCCGTCTGGTCGACGAAGTCTCCCAGAGTCTTCCTCATCGACTCGACGGAGCCCTCCAGTTCTATTCCCTGAACTTGGCTCACCTCATCAAAGTCCTTCTTCCTGAGATTATAAATCCAGGACATCCCCATCTCGGAACTTTTGTTTCCTTGGTCAGGACAATTACTATTCGGCGCCAGATGTAACGACCTGTTTCTTTATTTTCTGCTCGCAATGTAAACGTGCGGCTAGCTCAGAGAGGTTGTGAGTTCGTTCCACCAAATTTATATTGAGTGACTAGATTGGTGCTGGTTTATTGATTCTCTAAATGTAGCCTTATTGCTATTGTTTTGCTACCCGATGTCGCTGTCTTCTGCTGCGTTGCTCCTGGCTCGTTGCTGCGCTGCTATTGGTGTGCCGCTGCGTCGCTTCTGGCTTACTGCTGCGTCGCTCCTGGCCTGCTACTGCGTTGCTTCGGCTTGCTGCTCCGGGTGACTGAGATCGGGACGGCTCCACCAAAAACCCTGGATGTTATGCGAGCTTCCCTACCGGGGCCGGCAAGGTGTATCGCCTAGCAGGTGAACCGAAGTTTCGCCTTATCGCCTAGCCACCTTTAACGCCTGGCTTCCGGAGTTCAGCCTGGACTTTGTCGGCAAGGTGTATCGCCTAGCAGGTAGAACAAAGTTCTCCCTTATCGCCCAGCCACCTTTATATGACACCGCGCAAGAACTCACTAAGTTTGATTTTACCACGACATAGCACCGTTGGATCTCAGCGTTGTAGCCTCAGCCTTGTAGACTTGTCGTCGTTCGACGTCTCGACTTTGCGATCTTGATCCTTGGGCACTTCGGTTTCGATTTGTACTTATTCCGCGTCACGCATTCCCTCTGATTCTCGCACTTGTACTGTCCCGAGCTGCGCTTGCGCCGTCCTTTTATAGGCGCTGTAGGTGCCGTTATTTCTTGCCGGGCGCGGGTCCAAGTTCCATCGAGGTACCGTAAATTCACGATGTGTCCTCTTTAGGCGGGTCCGAAGTCCACCAATTTACCGTATGACCTCGCTGCCCTTGCCATATGAGGGTCCAGCTCCGAATATTTCCCGTTTGACCTGGATGCCCTTCATTTTTCCGGCTTTCTCGCCTCCTCCGCTGTTGCTAGGCCGAGCTCCTACATCGAGATTTGTGGGTAGTTTAAGACTCCTCACAGCTCTCATGAGCCCTTGGGAATCTAGGAACAGGTTCAGATTTTGGACAAGGCTGGATGCTGGTACTGGCCGTTTTTGGCTTAAGCAGCCAGTCTGCGTTGCGTGACGGAAATCAGGAGACGCTCGGTGTCAAGAGATCCTCGAACGGAGACATGAGCTTTCGCGAGCGCTGGATGAATCAATGAGCCTAAGC